AGGGTCTTCAATATTTAGACTTTAGAAGGACAGGAAGGAACTGGCCTTTTTGAAGTAGGAGAATCAATCAGTAGTGTGGTTTGGAAGCTATGAGCAAGGTGTTTTAGGAATGGGGTAATCACTGATTGAAAATGCTACTGATATATTTTTTAAGGTGAAGCTTGAAATTGGCATCAGAATTAGAAATGTGGAGATCATTAGTGACATTGACAAGAGCAGTGTCCTGGGAGGTTTTTTTTTTTTAATTTGATTTTTTAAAAAGATTTTATTTAATTTATTTATGAGAGACAGAGAGAGAGAGAGAGAGAGAGGCAGAGACAGGGGCAGAGGGAGAAGCAGGCTCCATGCAGGGAGCCCGACGTGGGACTTGATCCTGGGTCTCCAGGATCATGCCCTGGGCAGAAGATGGCGCTAAACTGCTGAGCCACCTGGGCTGCCCTATTTGATTTTTTTTTGACAAAAATCTGATTGATATAGTTGTAAGAGAAAATAGGAAGACATAAAGCAGATGAAATACAGGCAACCATTTAAAAAATTTCTATTGTAAAAGAAAGCATAGAATAGGGTGCCAGCTAGAAATGAAGGCAGTGGTAAAGGAAGGATTTAAAATAATTTTGAGATGATATGTATCACAGCATGTTTGCATACTGATGGGGATTAGTTAGTCCTGACAGATCAAGAAAGTACAATACAATGCAATAAATCAAGGGGTTTTGATAGAATATACAATGCTCTAGAGACACAGAGAAGCATGCAACCTGGTATAATGAGAGGGAAGAAAAAGTGACTAGAGATTTTTAGAAGTAATATCTGAATTCAATTGTGAGGAACAAGTGTGAGTTAATGATGCAAAGAAGAATGTAAAGAGCTTTCTAGGGAGAGGAAATCATTAAAGCATATATTAATTATACCTCTGATTTGCTTTGTAACCATTAATCTTTATTTTTCAGTTAAATAACAAATCCTTATTCATGACCTTTTATAACTGGCCTTGATTATAGTGAAGAAGATAGCCAAAGCTTGCCTTTGTGGAGATTACGTTCCAGGAACAATGAAATATGAACACACAGACTATGATAGCAACAATGGTGTGCAGAAACAACTTGCTGAGGTTGGCTAGAGTGCTAAAGGAAACTGCTCTGAAGAGTGGACATTTGTGTTGAAACTTAAAAAATGGAACTGAGCCAAACCATCAAAGGGGTGGATAAGGAGCACTCAAGGCAGAGAAAATAGCAATTGCAAATTCATGAAGAAGGGCTTTTTCAAGGAACAGAAAAAGGATCAGTATGGCTGGAGCTCAGGGTGAGATTTGAGAGCAGCTTGCAGTTACTAGGAGCAAAGAAAAGCCATTCACCATTTTTATTCAGGCCTGTGGGCTTCCAGAAAGGAGAAGCATGCACATCCTCATTCCCCTCCTTCAACTTATGCCTCCACCATTCCAACATATGAAGGCTGTTTCAGGCAAAACCATGTCCCTTGGTTGAATTAAGTTGCCCTTGGCTCCAACCACCTCATTTCCTGAATTATTTATGACCATGAATTTCCTCTATACTTAATGATATAACTGATACTAAAATTACTTTATATAACTTAAATAAAGTTAATTTTCTTAGTACTATAGTATAATCCCTGAAAGAGTTATTCTTTTAACAACATGCCATATTTAGGATTCTTAAGAGTTCTATTTTACTTATTAGAGATACAAGATATATGAAAATATCACATTATTAATTATCTCCCCATGCCAAACATGTTGTTCACCATACTGCCTTTTCTCAGTAAAAAATACCACTATTCATCTGATGGCTAGGAATGATTTTTTGTTCCCATTTTTCCTTTATTTCCCAGCAAATAACCCATCACCCATTTACGCTATTTCTTCTTTCAAAAATATATCACAAATCCCTCCTAGTCTTTTTATTTCTTTTGCAAACATAGTCCAAATCACAATCTTCTTTTACCAGATTACTGCATATAGTCTCCATGTGGTTCTTTGTTTCCAACTTTGATTTGCTTACCAGTTCTCTATAAGCAACCAAGGGAATTCTTTAGTAACACAAATCAGAAGACTTTGCAAGTCGGGAGTACAGTTAATATATGTTTTATTGGTGTCCTCTACCTAGAAGGCTGTACTCTGCTGATTAACTCTTACTCATATTTTATAATTAAATTCAGATATTCCTTCCAGAATCCTCATCACTACTTTTTCTCCATTCTCACAGGACTGGGTTGCATATTTCTCTGTGTTCCTAAAGCATTTTATGCTTCCCTCCATCAAAACGACTTTATTTCCTTTACTATGTTATGTTTTGACTTACCTACATATCTGTTTTGCTCACCAGACTATAGGTTGCTTGAGGATAAAGTCTATAACTTTTATTTATAGGTGTATCTTATTACCTGGTAAATAATTAGTGCTTATTAACAATGTTCATTTGTGGCACTCATTAATGACTGAGTACACAAATGCATGTGGATTGAGATGATTAAGAAAGGCTTCATGAGGAAGGTGATGACTTCCCACTACCATTTGTTGAAGAAACAGTCCTTTCCCCATTGTGTGTTCTTTAACTCTTTAGCCCTTGTCAAAAATTGATTGTATATGCACTGGTTTATGTCTGGGCTTTCTATCTGTGCCTCTGGTCTATGTATGATTTATGTCTGGGCTTTCCAATCTGTGCCTCTGGTCTATGATTCCACATGTGAAAGAATGAAACTGAATCACTATCTTAGACCACTCAGAAAAGAAGAAAAAAAAAAAGCCTCAAAATGGATCAAAAACTTGAATGTAAGACCTGAAACTCTAAAACTCCTAGAAGAAAAATAGGAAAAAAGATTCTTGATATTGGTCTCGGCAATGATTTCTTTGATAAGATATCAAAAGCACAGGCTACAAAAACTAAAATCAACAAATGGGACAACATTAAACTAAAGAACTTCTGCATAGCAAAGAAAACAATCAATAAATTGAAAGGGCAACCTACAGAATGGGAAAAAATATTCACAAACCATATATCTGACAAGAGGTTAATATTCAAAATAAAAATTGAATTACCATATGATCTAGTAATTCCACTCCTGAGTCTATATCCAAAGGAATTAAAATCAGTATCTTGAAGAGATATATGCATTCCCATGTTCACTGTAGCATTAAACACAATAGCTAAGATATGGAAACAACCTAAGTATCCTTCATTGGATGCCTGGATAAAGAAAATGTTTGTGTGTGTGTGTGTGTGGGGGGGGATATAATGTATTGATATATTTAAATTTTATATACGTATAAAGAAAATGTTTTGTGTATGTGCATATATACATAAAATATTTATACATTTAAAATCTATATGTATAACATATATATAAATATATATATATATTATTTATTCAAGTTACCTTCTGGAATAGTTTGGATGAGGCAAGGGATTATTCTGATCAAACATTCTAGCTGCACCGTTTTTCTGAACCATGTATGGATCATGATCTGGCCAAATTTCTGTGCTGTGGGATTTCAGCATCTTCAAGTAATTACTCTCAAAATGTATTCTACAGAGGGAGTAATTAAAATATTCAGCAACTAGTGCACAAGAAAGCCTCTGGATGTGTAACAGTTCAGCTTCTTTCATGAGAAATTGTACATTTGAAGCCCTAATGATCAATGAGAAAATAATAAAGTCCATGGAACTGAATATACCATCCCATCTTTAAAGTACTGAGATTAACTTTGTGTATCTAATAGAGATTACAATTTATTATACCATATATATTTATTATCCCTGGAATTTGCTCACCTTTAGGGACAAATACTGGCAATGGTTATGCAGGACTGCACAAGCAGAAAACATACACCTCTTAATTAAAGACAGCATTAGATGTTTGAAAATAGTACCTATATGAGTCTTACAAACACTCTAAGAGGGAAAAGATCAGAAAGTATGGATGTGTATATACATATGCACATGTATTTATGTGTATACATGTATCTATGTATAAGCATATGTATGTGCATAGACAGAAGTATGTGTGTCTATGGACACATATGTTTTTAATCTTTTAATTTTTCTGTTATAGTAATAATATATGTTCCTAATTTATAATCTTAAACAGTAGAAAGGGGTATACACAAGATTAAAGTGCTTTCTGCTCTTCCCTCCACCCTACTTCATAGAGGGGCACAATACCCCATTTTCTGATATACATTTTTACAAATTAATGTTATAGTTACAACTATAAACCTAAATGTCAAATACTTTTTTTTTGTCAGTACCATTTCTTCAACTGGAAGAACTGCCTATTTCTAGGCATCTTATCATTATAGCTGAAATTTAGCAGTTACATTACCTACTACCTCTGTTTTCGTCTCCTTTCCAAGCTTTTTAAAAATTTTTTTGTCCTTCTTATAGTTATATTTACTGTAAAATCATACACATCTCTACTTTTAGTCCATAACTGTTAAACAGTATCTACTAATTCCTTGTTATGTAAGAGGAGGAAATTAACTAATACACAGCTTCTCTCTTCTGCTTCTTGTGTTTCTGACTTTTGTCACTTATGACATGAAGTAGATATTTTCAGGATTCCATGATTTACAACATTCATGGTCTATAACTAAATTCTCTTGAATATTTAGCCTCCAATTCATTCTAAAGATAGGTAACTAATGAAAACAATACTATGAATAGGTAAAATATATCTCTAAATAAAGAAATACTGTGATTTGACAAAAGAAAAGAAATTCAATTCTATTTCATGAAATCTTGTCATTCAGATAAGAATTTTCTACATGCCTGACTAAAGAGAATTCTCTTCTCTTATACTCAAGTATTCGCTCAAACCTTTCAGCTTATTTCAAATTATGTACACGATTTTATTATTTTTTTAGGTTTTTAAAAAATTTTAAATGTTTCCAGAGTTATATTCTTTTGTTTGTTTCTCGTTGATAAAGGAAACAAATGAAGATCTTTATTTTCCAAATCACACAATCTATTGGTTAAACCTACTTTCTGAAATATTCTTGCTGTTCTAATTTTGTAATAATCAGGGCAGGCTAAACATTCACTATATTAAGACTATGCATACTTCTCCAGATCTACTTTTTTCCCTAGGTCTGTTTTTTTAAATGCTGGTGATAAACCAAATCTGATTTATATGAGGCAATCTATGTGGGAAATGTCTGTGACTCTAGATATCTGATCATTCTTGAGAAATGACAGCACAGCTACTGTAATATCTTTTGAAGATAATCATTGCTAATTTAATGATTACCAGTTGCCATTAAATGAATATGGAAAAAAACCCACTTTCTTCATGCAGACAATTTTATGAATTCACTCTTTGGTCTACTTTGGATCTACTGCTTTCTAGGCCTACTGCACATTGTCATCTCTGGTTTTAATTATTTGTCTCTTTACTTTAGTTCCTACTGGATTTGTTTTAAATATCTTTTTATATCATGGATGTATTTACCATTTTGTCAAATATATTTTTAAGAAAACTTTTTGAAATATCTATAAGCACATACTGAATCTGTCTGGTTTTTTTTTTTTTTAACTGACAATTGGATGGATTTTGGAATGATAAGTTAAAGATAATTCAACTTTCTACTTTGAAGGCAAGGCTCCATTATCATCAAACTTGTTGGGAATGGTGGTGAAATGTGATAACAAACTGAGTTCTTACTCCTTTGGAAGAAGCTTATTTATGTTTTCCATTCTGAAAGCTCACATAATTTCTCTTCAAATCAGAAATTTTGCCATAATACTCTAATCTTTTTATCCTATTCTATTGGGTGGTCAGCAAATTCTTTCATATAAAAATGTCTTAAGGGCAGCCCTGGTGGTGCAGCGGTTTAGCACCGCCTGCGCCCGGGGTGTGATCCTGGAGACTTGGGATCGAGTCCCACATCGGGCTCCCTGCATGGAGCCTGCTTCTTCCTCTGCCTGTGTCTCTGCCTCTCTCTCTCTCTGAATAAATAAATAATAAAAATAACAAACAATAAATAAATAAATAAATAAATAAAATTAAAAATTTTTAAATTTTAAAATTTAAAAATAAATAAATAAAATAAATAAAAATGTCTTAAGATCGTTGAGATTATATTCTTTTGTAATTTTATAATTTTTTTCTTAAAATTTGTGTCTTTGTGATCCCAGAATTTCTATTTCATATATGTAGGATTAGCTGGCTTAATCCTTTGTATTTCTCAATTTCTCTTATCTTCTCCATATTCTGAGAAGGTTCATCATCCTGTCATTCAAAATGAGCAATTCTGTTTAAATAAAATCTATTGTGCTATTTAATCATTCTATGGATTTTTATACATTTTAGGAATCACATTTGAAATTTCCAAGAAAGTTTACTTTTATGTAATTACTTTTTCTTCCATTGAAGTAGTTACTTTTTTATTGATCATAATATTTAAAGTTCTCTTTCGTTCCTTAAAATGTCTCTGGTTCTTTGTGTGTGTATGTGTCAGTTGTTCCATTTATTCATTTTTCCTTTTGCTAGCTGTTGTGTTTTCTCAAATGTTTGATGATGTTTGATGATTCTTGATTAGACAAATTCATATTTATTTATGAACTAGGGACTCAGCAGGTAAATAAAGAGAGTTGACATGGGTTTTCCCTGTATGTTTGTTGTTCTGTTTCTATGAAGTCCTGTCCTCTATGGAAAGATGGAAAGATGCTTATAGAATTTGTATGGCTCATTGAATGGCAGGCAATGCATCAGGGTGACCCAGGGCAATGGTAAAGTACAAAGGACTCTTGAACCAAACTCTGTTCACATCTCAGCTCTAATACTTTGTGTGTGAATTTAAGCAAATTACTTAATATTTTTGTGCACCAGGTTCCTTATGTCTTAGATGAGGATAACGAGACCTACCACACAGGGCTATGGTGAGAATGAAATGAACTAATTTAATTTACTTAAATAATTCAGGAAAATATTGACAATATTATGAAGATGTATGGAATGCCAAGAGTAGGCAGGTAAGCTGGGGGCTCTAGCACAGATGAAAATAAGGCGGGCTATATCAGGAATAGAGCAGTTGGCAGTCTTGTCTAGTCTTTGATCCTCCACTGCCCGCACCATGTTAAGTTTACTTTAAGTTACTTTGATCTTTTTTGTTTCTCTCTTCAGCAAAAAGACTCACAGAAGTTTTCCCCCAGGCAAACAATGTAGTTTCTACAGAAAGCAGTTTTATGGGGTTTATCCTGGGACAAAAGCTAGCCACCTTTTCCTCTGTTTGTGGGAGCCTGAAGGAGGAGAGGAGGTGCCACCTGATAAAGCTAAATAGTCGCTAATTATCTTGATTTGGGGCAAATATTTTATTTTTCTGCAGCTGTAGTGTTGGCTTTGAACCTTTTTCAAGCCCAGGAGAGAGAAGAGTCCCTACTTTTACTGATCATATTCTCTGCTTCAACCCCTTCTGCTTTGGTTTCTCAGTCAATATAATCGCATCCAATTATAGATTGCTCTAAAGAATCAACTTCTCTGATGTGCTAATGGGAGGCAGTTTTTGTTTTCTGGGTTGCTTATGATTATGTACATCTATGCATCCTTACTATCATTTCATAGTTAAAGAGGAAAAACAACATATGTTCGGAACTCCTACACAGATGTAAACTTAGGCAAAAATACATTGCTTCTTAAGAACAAAAATAACATTTTGATAATTATAAGACTTTTTTTCCAGTTCATAGTAACACCCCCAAATAAATGTATTTTTCCTTTGTAACTTCCTTTCTCCCATAAAAGTATGATTTTAAGACTTATCTTTCTGTACTCATTAGAATATAGTATGAGAAATTATGATGCCCTTATAAAACAACTTATAATTATGAAAATGATGTCTAAAAATATCTTTGAATTTAACTGAAAAAATGTCTGATTGACAAAATCAGATGTTATCTGTAATCCATTTCATTCTCTAGAGAAGATACTATCACTGTGGAAAAGTCATACAGGAAGAATCCAGGAGAAAGATAAAAAAACAAAACAAAAAGCCTAAAAAAACAAACAAACAAAAAACAACAGATTTTTTAAAAAAAGATTTAATTGTTTATTCATGAAAGACAGAGAGAGAGAGAGAGAGAGAGAGAGAGAGGCAGAGACATAGGCAGAGGGAGAAGCAGGCTCCCCACAGGGAGCCCACTGCAGGACTGGGTGGCAGATCCCAGAATCATGACCTGAGCCGAAGGCAGGTGCCCAACCACTGCACCACCCAGGCATCCCCAACCCTGAGATGTTAACCCTGGAAGAGAGGCTCCATGATTCCATACAAGATAAAATAAATCTTTGATACTAACGTAAATAAAGAATTAAGCTGACCACTGAAGATGATAAAAATACAGAGGGTGGAGTGAAAGTGAGTGCTAGCAAAGTGAACTTTGCATTTCTGTTCTATGTATGTGGTCAGCAAATATTGTTACATCTGAATTTTATTAGTGTGTCAGTGATATCTGGGTAATGTCTCCTTGTCAGTCTGCATCATGTTCTCACTTTAGGAATCAAAGGCAAAGATGGCATGCGTTTCCAGAATCACTGGAAATTACCACATGTTATAGAAGTAACAGTATACAGAAACACACACACACACACACACACACACACCCATTATCACATACTTTTACTATAGTATATAATTATAAGGAAGTTAGTTTGACATATCACAAAGAAAGAGCTCTGCAATAATCAGGAGACATTCTCTTTCACGTACCCCTCCTTAGCACATACACCTTGACGCTTAAGAACAAAATCATTGTTTCCATGAAGAATTCGAATGAGATTAATTTTTTTTAAGATGAGTTAATTGACCATTCCTGGTTGAGAAGGGTTAATGGTGCTGGGCTAGCATAAAATAGATCCAGTCAGCTGTGACACCTTTTTCAAACAGCCCTGCCAACACAAAGCATCAGCTACTGAAGCTTCTCTCCTCCTCCAGCCCTTTAAACAGACACTGACCTTTCTAGTAAAAACTAAATGGGGGTGGAGGGCTGATGCATTAAAAAAACAAAAGGAAAACAAAACAGGATGAATTCAACAAAAACATATACAGTTGTGCCAGAGGTGGAATTTTCATCTCTATTCCCTAATTATGGTCAAGTGGTTTAAGTGAGCTTTATGAAAACAAACAAATACCAGTATCTCCACATTATCCAAATTGGGGGTGAAAGATGTCCAGGTGTGGAGAATTACGGTGGCATTTCAAGATATTAAGGCTTATACAGGATTATAGGAAGCAAAATGATCGAGTAAGCAAGTACATAAAATGGACAAAGGTTTCCATGTTGTGTATGTACAGAATCAGATTAACAAAACTTTGTAGTCTGTATGTTTAGTATCTAAAACAAAATGCAAATAGTGCTGATTTTGAGACTGTACTTTCCCACCGTGCGAGGCAAATTAGGGATCTCTTAATTGTAGTTGTATTTGCTCTGCTCAAATAAAAGTTTTCATCCACTGATTCATTTGACATAAACACGCTTCAGCAAGCGAAGTGAGATGGAGAAGGAGTAATAATACAAGGAGGAAAGGAGCATTCAACAGAAGCACTTGGCAGTTTATCAAGGTGCAGGTAAAGGTACCTCATCACACACACACACACACACACACACACACACACACACACTTAGACATCCTACCAAATGACTGTAAAGACTATATTACTTCTTTCTTTTCCTTTCCCTCCATCCTTCCTCCCTGCAAAATGAGATGATTATTCCTGAAAAAAATTATTTAGGCCAACTAGTTAATCCTTTGTATACTATACTCAAGGAACTGCACAGGGAAGCCAAGAAAATTAATTTTCTAAATGAACACTACTATAAAATATGTTATTTTGTGTATAAGCACATGATTTTAAGGCCCCCTCTTTGTGAGTGCATAAGGTTTGTACGAAGAGCCAAGCAAGCATGTCATCTTCCTGCTTCTGCTGACAGTAGGAGTAACTCTTAACAAAGCAAATGTTCTGCTGATATCTGAGAAATCTAAAAGAGATTGACATTCTGCTCTGAAAAAAGGAAGATGTGGATTATTTTTCTTATTTGTGTCAGCATATCTGTGAGGAACCCACTTATATCGGGCTCATGCCTTTAATTGCTTGGAATAGAACATCTGTGGTTGTCTATCACA